TTTTCTCACCAACCCTCCTGCCCTCGCAACTCTCCCTGCTGCCCCCCTCCCTCCCCCCACCAAGGCGTGATCGAAGCCCAGTCCCAGGGACCATCGTCTTCCCTTGCCCGAATTCCTTCGCCAGCCTTTTCTCGCCTGCCGCAAATTGCCCCTCCTTTGAATTGAGTGGTTCCCTCGGCTGCTTCAGAGGGCCGGTCTGGAGTCACGTGGGGCCAACACCAGGTTTTTGCAAAATGGAACAGAAAGAAAAGAGGTACAGATGCCAGACGCGCACGCGCACGCAGCCAGACGCACGCGGCTAGATGCGTGGACGCAGAGGGAATGGAGATAAAGTGTGGATTGGATAGCTGTTCTGGGGAAAGCCTCCCCTCAGCCTCTAGGCCTGACCCTGGGGGCCCGTTGTTTTTATATCTGGGTCTCGCTGCTCACACTGACCTCTCCATCCACGGCCTGTTCCTTCCCGGCTCACGGCAGACAGCTGGGCATTTCCCCTTCGCTCGGGCACTTTTACAAACCTTCCAGCTTGCACATCGACGTTCAGTGAATTCACACCCCGCCGCCACCCCCCCCCACACCCCCGGGGGGAAACCCAACCCCGCCTGGAAAAAACAAGCAGCGGAACACTACGCGTTTGATAGTTGGCACCTTTTTATTAAAAAGAAAAAAGCGGCAGCGCTTCCTTCCGCGCGACGCTCGGTTTCGAAAACGTGTTTCAGTCCACGGTCGGGGGCGAAAAACAAAAAGCTGCAAGTCTTTTGGCCTGGCTGATTCCCAGCGTGTGCCTTTTCAATCGGGAATAGTCCTGCTCCCCTTTTTCTTGGAGTCTGTCTTGCTGAGCGAGAGGTTTGCTGGGGCCCAGCTCAGAGATTGCGTGAGAGATTTGAGAAGAGGCACCTTGATGACTGGGCCCCAGTGGCACAGGAAGTGGGGGTTGAAGGGAGGGGTAACTTTACCCAGCGTCTGTCACTGACTGTGTTGCCCCCCCTCCCCGCCAAGGTATCCGACATCATCGGCCGGTCCGTGGCAGTTGACAGCAGCGAGGATGACTTAGGCAGAAGTGCCCATCCTCTGTCCAAGATCACGGGCAACTCAGGAGAACGGTAGGTGGGCAGTGCCCAGAAGGGCATCTCCTTTTCTCTCTCTACCCATGGCACCTGGCATCAGAAGACCTGGCTCGGGGAGGGCCCAACGTTAAAACTGAGACTCGAGGGGTTTGGGGGTGATGTCAGGAAGCACTTCCTCAATTTACTAAAATCTACATATTAGCAAGTTAGAAGGCAGTGTAGAGGAAGCTTTACTCTCTATCTAACCCCATGCTGTCCCTGTCCCGGGAGTGTTTGATGGGGGACACAGTGTAGAGGGAGCTTCACTCTGTATCTAACCCCGTGCTGTCCCTGTCCCGGGAGTGTTTGATGGGGGACACAGTGTAGAGGGAGCTTTACTCTGTATATAAATGGCGGTAACATTGCTCTGGGAATGTTTGAGCATGCTGTGAAGAGAGATTTACTGCTTATCTAAATGACAATGTAATTGTACTCGAGTGTTTCATGAAGACAGTGCAGATGGAACTTTAGTTTCAGCTTAAAAGAGTAAAGGCATTTTTTACGTTCAGGTTAAGAATGTAGAGGGAGCTTGACCCTTTTCTAATCCCATACAGTCCCTGTCCTGAGACTATCTAATGGGGAATGTGTAGAGGAGGCTTTACTTTCAGTTTAATGGGGTAGAGTGGGCTTTACTCTGCGTGTAAGCCCCACGCTATCCCTGCCCTGTTTCTCCTGGTTTGTTTCCCCATTTTCCTCACTGACTGCTCTCCTGTCTAGTTTGGCCTGTGGAATTATCGCTCGTTCGGCTGGACTCTTCCAGAATCCCAAAAGGATCTGCTCGTGCGACGGCGTGACCCTGTGGGAAGAGCGGGATCGACCAATCGCAGGGACGGGTCGCAAGTCCCAGGATCCACCCACGGCTAACCTATGAACCAGGTCTATCCTGGTTCCTCCCAACCACACCCATGCCCCCCCACTCCTACCCCACAATCGCCGCACCCCCCTTTCCCCAATCCCACTCTCCCCCACCCTCCCAACAAAAACTCTGACCAGCTTCTAATCGAATGGCACGTAGAAATCTTTTAGAAAATACATTCGCTTCTTCTGGGAGTGGGGTACTGAGGCCAATCTGATCTGTCAAGCCCGACTGACCCTTGACCCCATCCATGACGTCCATGTGGGGTTAACGGTGCCACTCGCAGGAGGCGGTTGCCGTGGTTCCTCGCCCCGACCATGGCAACTGCACTCCGAAGGCCCATCGTTGGCTGTGGACACAACACACAGGGTGCCTACCCACTGGGCGCTACAGCAATGTAATTCTCACTCGCTAAATCGAAATGGCCAATCGCTTGTTGCAAGTCAAAGCCTTTGTCGCGAGATTTTGATTTCCGGCTGAAAGTGCCAGCCCCACCATTTCAAGTGGCGTCAAGATTTATAATTTAGTCTTTGCTTCTTGAAGTGATTTAACTTGGAATCGAAACGTGATTACTTGATGCTTTCTGTAAAAGGATCTTTTTTAGAATGACTCTCAACAGCGACAGTACAATAAAGTTCAGTGATGATTTGAAATCAAATCTGTTTCGCGTTTATTCTCGCTGGATTTACGGCACCCTGCAGGGTTATCCGTACAGCTCAGGGTCAGTGCTGAGGGAGTGGGCACTGTCGGAGGGTCAGTGCTGAGGGAGCGCCGCACTGTCGGAGGGTCAGTGCTGAGGGACTGGGCACTGTCGGAGGGTCAGTGCTGAGGGACTGGGCACTGTCGGAGGGTCAGTGCTGAGGGA